TCTGTCTGTCTGTCTGTCTGTCTGTCTGTCATTTATCTAAATTTAAATAGCTTGAAGTAAAGTAAAAAATTATTTATAAATTATATTATTTATAATATTTTAATTAATATTAAATACCGTAGTATAATAAATTAAATTTGTATTTAAAATATATCATAGGAGGTATTTTAGTTGCTATAATTATTGGCGTAAACAAGGTATTCCCGGTCCCACACCTGTTCCCCTGTTCGGTAATTATCACCAATTACTAGTCAGTTCACGACATACGCGGGAACTGGAATGGCGTCAAAAGTACGGACATATCTATGGGTAAAGTTATTAAATAAAAATTTATTTAATTTTATTTTTCTATTTTGTATAATTTTTAATCTAAAATGAAATTACTCTGCATTTTATTCTAGGAAGTCATATAAATGATATGGAAAAATATTGAAATAATCGAAAATAATATAATTTATAAATAATATTTTACTTTACTTCATGCTATTTAAATTTAGATAAATGACAGACAGAGAGAGAGAGAGAGAGAGCTTTATAATTATATTTATAAAATTTATAAAATCATTATTATTAAATTTTGTAAATGTAAATTACTATATAAAGTGTAATATATTGTATATACTCACAAATATAGCATGTATGTAAGTGTTATCAATATTAACAAGATTATGTATAAGAGTAAATCCATATTACAATATTAAAATTATTTTTTACTAAAGAGTATTTAATACAGAAATATAGCGTTTATATTTATAATAAATTTTTATTTATAATTTGTTTTTATAATGATTATAAATATTTTATAGGATGAATTAACAAATTTATGGTATATTTTATATAAAATCCTATATGGTGTGCTCCACAAAATACGTACCCACGTATAGGGGAGGGGATCATACCAAAGCGTATGTCCCATGTTAAACTCCTATGTACGATGGGCGTGTAGGTTGGATGGGGTCAATTTTTGTTCACAATTTTGCGTACGTACTTTGTGGATGACGGCTATACAAAATATGAAATAAAATTATTTGTGAAATATTTTATTCAATTTATACGTAAATACATGACATTTATTTGTGTTATAAAACTTTTTTATTTAGTTACTTAGGGAATTTTGATAATATATTTAAAACATAATTATTAACTATTGTTTACAATAACTCTTGATAGTAATACAAATGGTCGATATGATCATATAGTTTGCCTTAATACTGATTATCCTTGTGTAATTTACTTTCACCTAACAATGTTTCCCACTTAATGTTAACACATTTACTTTACTTTAGTAAAAATAGTATAGTATTACTGTGCTAATGCATTTTTGATAAGGTATAATTATATTTAATGCAATAGTATTTTAGGTACAAAAATTTAAAATATACTGCACCATAAGCCACAACATCATTAAACATTACAGTACATAGTTTTATGTTCTAGTTCAGATCATTATAATAATTATAAAGGATTCATATAAATATATTAAAATATTATATACATACGTTTGTAAACTTACGTTCACGTTCGTGTACCTACATCATAAATAAATTAACACCAAATTAGTATTATAGGATTAAATAACTATTCAAAAAATTTATATTTTTGTTTTATAAGTACTTGCTAAAGTTAGTAAATGTTTTTAATTTAATACATTTAATACATAATTTTATAATATGTGCATGATTCATAGATTGGATTTATACTTATTGCACTACCGGAATAAAATTGTGCACTGGACTCAATGTCCTTAAAAAATCAACAATCACAATTAAATTTTAATATAAAATACTAATATACTTACTTTATAAAGACTTTACAAAAATAAATAAATAAAAACTTACCTCTCGCTTGAAAAATGATTTATTTACCTAGTGCGAATAGATTATTTAGTTTCATGGTAATATACCGTGTGGGCAGACAAAATGTATTTAAAAATTAATAGTACTGTAATACTATGATATTACATTAATAAGTATTATAAGTATAAATAACTAGCGACTCAACATTAACACCATATCTAATCTAATAATACACTTATGTTTTATTATAACGTATTGTTTCCATATAAATGGCAATAAAAAAAAGTTGTAGATAATAAATACTTACAATTAATATCCAATTATACCATACATGCTAATCAATTTTAAAATATCACTATTAATCATGTTGCTATAATAATTTGCAAAAATATGTATTTATGTAGTATAATTTTATTATAATATAAGTATGCTGGTTAATTTGTGTTTATTGCTTAAATATTTATTTGTTCATTGTAATTAGCGTACACTGTAGCGCACAAATGACCAAGAATATTGTGCAATAAATATTTTGGTTTCAACTCTATGTTCAAACAGTTGTGTGGTTTTGAATGTAATATCATTTTTATTCATATTACTGTCTGCGTGTATAGACTGTTCAAAAAAATAATAATTATAATTAATAACTATAACAATTATAATATAAAATTACATATAATACACGTGGTCAATTAGTGCTTTTGTGGTAATCATTTTTCGTGTAATAAATATATTTAAAACACATAATTGTATGGATAATAGCGTTGAAAACGTCGTTAACGTATCGCAAATAAAAACCGCAAAACACTTGAAACGCACGCATAGTACGTGCGATGACTCACAAATTGTACCCGATATTAACCAGCTACCTATGAATGACCAAGTTGACTCAACAACCTTATACATAGTGAACACCATAGACACCATGCGTACCAAAAACCTGGACGAGTTTGAGACTACCAGTGCCCTCAGAGTCAAGTCTGAGGAGGGCTTACTCGCCGACCGGTTACGGGAGTCGGAGCTCGAGCTCGAGCGCCAGGTCGAGGCTACCCGAGCCCTGGTGGACAGGCTAGTAAAATGCGAAAAGGAGCTTGGTGAGTTTAAGCGTATTAATGAGGTCCAAGAGGACTGTATAGAGACCGCGGAGGCCGAGATACTTAGGCTCCGGGAGGGGCTGGAAAAGGCTGAGCTCCAGGTCCAGGAAACTGTCGAGATATCGGAAGTAAGTGCTCGAGATTTTTGTCACTTTGTTAAGCTTGCTCAAATATTTACATAGTTGTGTGTTATTTGTTGAATTATACTTGATTTTATTTGTTTTTGTACAAGTACAGTCAAGTTAGTTTAATAGTTTTCATAATTATTTATAATTATAGTATTAGTTAGGTTTATGCGATACTAAATATAATATACATGTATTTTAATATTTTAATTAAAATTTATTTTCAAACAACTATAATTAGTATCGCAAATACTAATGAAAATAAATTTAAAATATCATTTAATAAATACCATATGAATTGCAGTATACCATAATATATTATATTTGTACCATAGCAATATAATAGTATTCAATTTTGTGGCACGTTACATAGAGTTATGAATTGTTTTTATGAATGCTACAATATAACTGCCAAAGTTTTTTTATACAGTGTAAATACAGGAAATAAAATGTTTTATGAGATTTAATTCAAAATATTGTGCATTCCGCTATCAGTCATAAGAATGCTAGCTCAATACAAAAAATGCTATTTGTATTATCATATAAATTAATTTTTTGAAGTGAAAATCACTGCAAAAAATGCACAAAAAAATCTCGCAGTCGGTAGGATTCGAACCTACGCGGGGAAACCCCAATGGATTTCTAGTCCATCGCCTTAACCACTCGGCCACGACTGCCATGCGTTAATATTATGTTAATATTTTTGCTGAATTAATGTATTAAGCTAATTAATCATAAATTATATTTAAAACATTAGTTAGGCGTCTAAAAGTGATAATAAACTAATAGCCTTAACACTATGCTAGAGTACAGGCTACATACATTAAATTGCTTAATAAACATTATTTTATCAGTGCACATTTTACACGTACTTAAAAGTACTTGTTTTGTGCATACATTCCGTACAGTAGGCATAAAAATGAATTACTGTATATTTATTTTGTAATTATTATTAAGCTTAATTTCACAGTATTTTCGTAATAATTACTTAACAATTAATTAGAGTTGCATTGGACTTGAAAATATTGCCCTTTATAAAATTACATCGCTAATTACCTAGATAATAACAATTAAAACCAGTAGTAACACATAAATATAATCCAATATACCAGTTATATTTTATCAAATAGTCTCATTTTTAATTAGCACCACACCTTTTATTTTTATAGCCCATATGATACATGTCAATAATAATACATGTGCATTTTAGTATGCACAAGGATGTCATTAAATGAACTCATGTTACTTAACACTAAAGCTGTAAACACATGTAATCATTTAACATATTATATACCATACTTATCAATTAAAGTGGTAATTAAAAAGTAGTTTTATAATAATCATTAATAGTAAATTACTAAAATATGTTACTGATTAATAAAAAATACTGATTAATGTCATTAATAAAAAATACACAAAAAATTTTCGCAGTCGGTAGGATTCGAACCTACGCGGGGAGACCCCAATAGATTTCGAGTCTATCGCCTTAACCACTCGGCCACGACTGCCACATAAATAAACTTTTATTAAATGTCATTTTAATATTTTAATAAACAATAATCAAATTTTTTTTAGATAATCACTATCAGGATATAACATGCAAATTATGCATAAAACATATGAAATAGATCTTTTTAATGTTAACTATATTTGTAAAGCAGTGCATAAAACTCTCTATGAGTAACTGACCTTATCGCATTAATTTTTAAAAAACGTACACGAATTAAATTTTTAGCTTAATAGATATTAATAATCAAATTTAATAGATTTATATTTTTGTAACACATTTTTTTGTCTTACACTTTAATAGGAAATCATAATCGACTTAAAATCAAAGTTAAAGACCTCTACCGACGAGTTAAACGCCATAAAATCAAACACCTCTACAGCGACCACAAGTACCAGCGCCGGGGCCACCGGTGCTCTCATTAAACACACTGAACCCCACTACCAAAAGGGTGGCCAACCTGTCCGTAACTACACGGGTCACCACAAACTCGGCCACAAAGGGACGGGTATTCAGAAAACGCCCTCATTTTACGTCGACTTAAACGGCGATTACAATAAAAGTGGCAAAAGTTTGCAGAAATTAAAACTCAAATTATTATCGACCGAAATGGCGGCCGATTTAAAGCACTTTACGTTTAGTGCCGTCAAAAACCTGTGGCCACAGCCAGGGGTAGGCGCGGCACCGGTAGTCGTGGGCGATATCGTGCAGCCATTGGTCGATATGCTGGATGAGAGGTTCGGGAGGAACTGGTGTGTGTTTATTATACAGAATAATGGCGTGAATACCTGTTCTGTCAAATACCAGCCTGGTACTTATTTAAAGTGCGAGCTTAATAAATATCTACATTTAATTGTGTTTAAAACTATTAGTAATATTAGTGTGGCTAATAATTTAAATAATAATGGCGCCAATAATGATAATCACCAAGATAATGAATGTTTACTAGTACATACAAATGACAGTAATGAGGTATTTAATTATGAAATTTTAATTTATATTGTAGTTTTATTTTTTTAAATAAAAAGTTTATAAATATTTTATAATTATTAGTTACTTACTAGCTAATAATTAATTATAATTTGAATTCCATAATAGTTTTCAAATTGAATTTATTAAAATAAATTATAAGCCTGTTCATTGTTAGTTTACAGTTTTTGTTATATTTATAATACCAAAATCACCTATTTAGAATTATTGTCATTTTAAATAAAAAAATACTTTATTAACATTACAATAAATGCCAACACATTAATAAAATAAAATTTATTTTTTTAACTAGGCACCGGTTATTACGCGTTTACCTACCAGTCCACCAACCAGTCCACCTACTAGCCCGCGTATCAGCCCGCGTACCAGTCCAACTACCAGTCCCCCTACCAGTCCACGTACTAGTCCGCATACCAGTCCCCATACCGAACCCATTGTCCACGTGTTCAAAAAGACTACGAATTTGGATCCATCGGTCGAGAAGTTTATTATACACGTGGCGTTGGAAAGCCTGTACAAACACCAGGTGCCCGCAAACAGCGAGTACACAATGGACACCTACCAGTCCCTAAGCGGGTGCGTCCGGGACACCATATGTCACAAGTATAATAGCCAGTGGTTTGTGTCGGTGGGCGCCACTCAACGCTACTCCACCTCCTGGGCGATGGTTAAGAGTCGCAAGTTTTTGCTGTTTGATGTGAATGGGGTTAAGTTTACGGTGGGCGAGGTGGGCACCGGGTGGTTGTGGTGAATTAGTATGGTTAATTTATTATGAAGCTAATGTACTAGTATTAAATACTAATTTAAATTTTTAACTTATACTTGTTTATACATATAGTGTAACTACACATTTAATAATAATAAACTGTCATGATTATATATTTATACAGGGTTTCATAAATAATGTCTAGAATTTTTTGATTAAACAAATGTTCAAGTTTTAGTTTTCTGACAAAAGGTTCTAGATCGTATTTATGAAATCATGTATAAGTGTATAATTATGAGCACTGTAATTAACAATGTGAAAATAACTATTGCACGAACTCGTTAATTTATATAAACATCCTGTAATAGTATCTATAATATAAATTATATTGTATATACTGTTCGTGCAACATTTATAACATTGAACAAAACTATTGCATATACTCGGGTCTTATATCATATTTTTAAAACTATTGATATTTATTTTAAAATGAAATTCCATTACTAATGTATTAGTCATGTATTATTGTTTATATTGTGCTAATTTAAATAAAGTTAATTATTTGTAGACTTTCATTGTTTATAAAAGGTTTATTAAAGTACTAAGTATTAATCAAAAATGACCAAGCTTATCCATGTTTACTACTACTTAAATATAATATTTATTTTAGCATTATTACCTTGCTACATCGACACTTATATGGACGAACATGACCTGTGTGAATCGAGCCATGATTGCCAAAATAAACCGCATATAATATGCAACCTAACGACCCACCGGTGCCGGTGCGATGGGAACTAACATTTATAACATTGAACAAAACTATTGCATATACTCGGGTCTTATATCATATTTTTAAAACTATTGATATTTATTTTAAAATGAAATTCCATTACTAATGTATTAGTCATGTATTATTGTTTATA